GGACGAAGAATCGCGGAGTCGCCGCCGGCTAAACAGAGCTGAAGCAAGGCAGGAGAGCCCCAGGTCCTCCACCTTCCCGGCGGTCCCTTCTTTGAGTGTGAGGTAATGGGAGAGGAATGTGCACACCGACCTCCCATCGGCCCCATGAAAACCATAGACAGAGTGAGGACAGTTTCTCCAAAAGAACCATAGATTACAGGAACTTCCACCCACCGCATAGTGAGCCGTTAAAAAGGTCACGTGAGAAGCCCTGGCGACTATAGAGAACGAAGGGAAATGGAGAAGGTCGTCCTTTTAACGGATACTGGAGTTTATTGCGTATGTTAGGCTTTCGTTTGGAATATCCTCAAAAGGCTATTTTTGTGGGTACACCGGTAAGAACTGGCAGCCTCAGGATGATTAAGACAAACTTGTTACGTCTTTAACAGCACGAGGGCGAAGAAAATAGGTCGTGAAAAGTACTTCGGGACAACTGGTCAATGTTTAGAAGCTCTGGCCTCTTTTGTACTCGTCTAGCTAACGATGTGATTTTTTTTTTAAAAAAATCTAGTATTGCAATTCAAAACGCTCTGTTCTATCGATCAGGGTTTTTTTTTCCTTTTTTTAATTCTATCACATAAATTAGAAATGCATTACTTTTCAGCCAAAGTCTCACCACTTCAAGTGCACTCTTAAAATAAGGAAACCAAACTACCGGTTTAGAAGCTCCGTCTAGGGCTAGGCTGTGTCTTTTCTTGCATATGGCCAATTTCTCACGGGACGAAGATTGACTGCGGTTAATAGCATTATATACATCTCAAAAATGGGACTTTTTTAAAAAAAATCGTGCAACAATATGCCTTTTAGACTTCTTCAAAAATTTTACAACATATACATTGCAGGTAATGTATAGCTACAGTTTACCTGATTGTAGAAAGTAAGGTGAACCAAATGGAAGAGAACTTTCTTGTAGCTTTGAAATACCTCACTTTCCGCAAAGCTGTTGTTGGCTACTAATCTTGAGCCCCTTATTGGCAATATTTCAAAACACAGGTCAGCCAATAAACTTGCATCTAAGTACATAGTAGACTATTATTAATGTCATGCATCTGTGTACATAATATTCTATTTAAGACTTGTTATCCAGTTACATCTTGACTTTTTGTGATCTGATGAATATAGTTTTGCCAAGACTGTTTGTACTTATAAGCTCATGCTTGGGTGATTGGTGACATTATTTAACCACTTTTCTTCCTGTCACTTCTTTTTCGATTGTTTTCAATTTTTCTGAAATTCATGAAATAGCTTTATTGCATTTGTTAACTAGTACAAGAGAATTAGAATTCAAATATCCAAAAACTTAACTGATAACACCAGAATAATTAGGAAAGATATATACAAACAAAGAATTTTGATTAAAAGACAAAATATTAAGGGCATGCTCAGACTGCATATATTGAACCAAGGAGAAAATAAATTAAAATTTGCAGTCTGGTTAATATAAACTTTAAAATAGTAATATAAAATAGATACATCCACACAGACGTATACACTTCAATTTTTCTGAAAATCAGGTTCTTTTCCAATAGCACTTGTTTCTGTGAAAAGACATTCTCTACAGAATTATTAAGATTTAGCTTCATTATTTTTCCACTGAGCAGTCTGATTTTATTTCAGTATTATTTGCTCTTTCTGTAACTTCATTAATTTTCTCCAGAGTTACAATTGAAAGACATCCATTTTTCTTGATTTAGATTTTCAAATGGTCCAGCTTTCACAGACATGCTACAACTGGAAAAAAAACATTTCTATGACAGAGCATACTTTTGTTATCATGTCTTTGTGCTTTAAATTTTAAAATCAAAATTTAAAGATTCAAGATAAATTTGATTAAACATAAGAACTAAGTAAGTGTCTTTTTTCAGATAATTAAATCAGCTATTTTCATGAAGGTGCTGACAATACTACACATTTTTACTGAGATGTACGTTCAGTTGAACTCATAGAAATTTCCTCCCTTAGTAAGTATGCTTAAGGCTGCAGATTTAAATGACAAATGTAAATGTATTGGCAGATTGAATTGTAGAGCAGGCAAAATCTACTGCAGATGTTTGTGACACAGCATTTTAAGGAGGAGTTTTCAGATTTTGCATTGCTAGGACCATCTAAAATGATAAATAGTAAAGATTGCTGTAGGTAAGGGCCGCAATTCCCATGTCCAGTACTCCTATTTGAGAAAAGGATAAAAAGCTGGAGGCTTTGAGTGGAAACCACAGTATGCCAGAACACAAGATAAAATTAGGCATCCTGATTCAAAAGGCAATTTTGAGAAAGAGAGTAAAGCATCCATAGTCTGCAAAAAAAAAAACATATATTGTTTTTCATGCATTTTATACCTATATAGAATATCAATGCATTGTATTTCTGTAGAAAACAGCTTGCTATTCTTGCAGCTCTGCTTCTGGGATTATGGATTTTGGGACAAATGGGTTTCTGGGGACAATCTACGGGTCAGTCAGTCATCTTCTCACTTCCTCTTCCTCCATGTAAATTACTCCTTCCCTAGGGACTCCTTTCTGTCTCAGAAGCATTTCACCTTTGCAGCCTGTCTACCTGACTAAACATATGACAATGGGAGGGAAATAAGTTCACTTCCTTTGAATGTGTGCAGAGTCAAGTAGGCTTCTCTCCAAATAATTTGCTGTATCCTTAATAATCTTGGCTCTAAAGTTCAAGGCTGGACTGTGGCTAACCTGCAAGTTGACCTGCAGAATTAAAGCTTGTAGTGGACCTGACCAAAAAAATTAGGAATACTGGTCACAAGAGGGAGAGCTGGGCCCCCAGTTTAGGTTAGATTGGGAAATGGTCCAGCAGGTTCATCTACAGGCCCAACTAGTGGGCAGAATCTGTTGTCTCAGTGGGGTTCTTGTACTTTCAAAGCTCCCCTTCCATTTTTGAAATGGACATATATTATCTACTACCTAGCAGGTTGGGACAGCATGGCTAAAAGTTTTTTTTTTCATGGATGGCATAGAAATCCTTCTTTTCCCCCAGCACAACTGGATCTATCTGCAGCCGGCGGCTTGCCTTCTCTGACAAGAGTAGTGCATTTTTGCAAGAAAGGAATATGTCTGCCTTAGGCTTGTGCTCAGACCCAAAAATTGATCTTGCTCTGGAATAAAATTCACAGATGCAACATTTTGTTGGCAAGTCCGTCCAAATGTGTGACTTCACCTCAGATTTGCTAATGGCACCCCTGGGGATCATGAGAACCATTGTGTTAGAAAAATAGAGCAAAGAATTCCCAAATTGACTGCTAGTGAATATATGGCTATGTCTTTTCTGTTTTTTTGACATCAGTATGGGTGTGATTTGTGATTGCTTTCTTACAGGATGCTTTTTCATTGTCCATGGTCCTGGGGTTTCCTGGTGATCTGTCATCTCAGTACTTATTAAATCTGATCCTCTTTAATATAATTATTATTGCTTTTATTATATTTATAAGGCTATCCAAATAGGAAGGATTATAAGTTATTAACAACACAATTCTTTACATAATTTTTTTAGAAATAAATCAGATGAATTCATTTAGTCACTTGTGAGCAAGCAAATTTAGATCAAGCCTAAAAAGGTCTATTGATTTTATGTACAAAATTCTACTGAATCTTGCTTCTAAATACATAGAATTGCACTGTCACATAGAAAAAATTAGTTTGAACCCAGTGACATGTTTGCATACCAGACAGTTAGTACCTTTGCAGAATTACTTGAATTTAAGTCATTTTTTATAAATTTAGTTGCTTATTAGAATTTTTCTTTTCCTTTTACATAAAAGTTGTAAAATCAAATGTAATTTTTGATTTCATATAAAAAGATATCAAGGAACCCTTGATGTTGCCCTACAATGTAAGTAGCCTTGAACTGTAGGGATGGGCAGCATGCTATAGAATCCAGCATGCATAATCAGGTTTATTGTATGTATATTGACTCATGAGCTGAGAACATATAAAAATTCAGGTATTCATTGCTGTTCATTATTAATTAAGGAAACTTGTACATTAGAAGAATTCTTCAATTTAAGGTTCTGTAATTGTCTTTTAGCTAGTACAGTGATGGCAAACCTTTTAGAGACCAAGTGCCCAAAAACTAGCCCCGCCCCTGCTTCGCCCCCCCCCCCCGTTCCCTGCCCCACCTGCCCGCAGGGCCACTCACCGCCTTCAGGGCCTGCCGATCACCCAGGCAGCCCAGCAGCACCATGGCGGACACACCCTCTGCCCATGCCCCACAGCATCAACTGTGCGCAATGGGCCGTGAGGGCAGAGTCTTGTCTACGCTGCCTGACTGCCATGTCCTCGGGGGCGACTCTCCTCCAGGGGGACTGCTGGTGAGGAGGGGTCGCGGGGAGAGGCGAGGCTGGGGCAAGGCACGTGTGCCCACAGAGAGGGCTCCGAGTGCCGCCTCTGGCACGCGTGCCATAGGTTCGCCACCACTGAGCTAGTAGGTTAGTCTGAAAATGTGCTTTGGGATTTTATTATATGATTGTCTGGTCTTTTCTACACTAATTAAATGGCCTATATTTTAAAATAGCTCTGTAAATATTTGCACAGAAATAAATACATAGATAAGCTGTACCTCAACTTTTAACTGTCACAGCTGCTACACAAACTCTTTCACAAGTACAAGCAAAAAGCCTTATACCAGAGCAGTCCATTTTCAGTAGAAAGAGTTGACATGGTTTTATTATCCAAATATGAACATTTTTTCTTATGCCCATTTTGATGTTACTCTTCTTATCTGATATTCAATGTTATTGGAAAATAAATTAGAAATAGTAAGAGTTGTGTGTGCTTTGTTTTTGTGGATTGGTCTCTTTTCCCCACTATTAAAAATTGGAGCAACCTGAAGCTTCAGTACAACAAGAAGAATTAAAACTGAAACACAGATCTAGAGAATGATAATCTACCTTCATGAGACTGGATCATGAGCATAATGGGAAACTCTGATAAAAGTACACATATGTATTAAACAGAGCTCTGTTTAATAGTGGCATCATCTTATTCTGTGCAGTCCTAACTGAAATCAATAGGAGCAGAATTTTCATAAAGTTTTGATTCTTTCTGTCAAAATGACAAATTTATATAATCTGGATATTTTTGTTTATCTTATTTTAGCACAATAATTATAAGATTGGATTAAAAGAACTATTGGCTTCTAAAAATTAGAAAAAAGTCATCAAAAATTACCTGTAATCTTGATGGATTAACAACATTATCACTGTTCTTAACAGCTTTGAAAGAAAATATATACTGTTATACAGACTCTTCTCTTTTTCAATTTCTATTTTTTCACACAATTATAACCATTGTTCTTATACAAAATCCTCCAAATCCTTTATTTCTGTTTTCAGATGTTATATAGCACAATTTTATGCAATATAATGAACAGTATCACACCAGCTACAGAAAGAACTGTGCTGTATTTGAAAACAATATCCTGGAGCACCAACATGGGCACAGCACAAAATTCACAACACTACAAATAACTTTGAAATGTATTTTAAAAATAGACAGCTAGAGACTGCAGAACCACTTATGATTCTAGACATAGCAGAATTGCCAGTGCAAGGGCACTGGTTTATGAAGGCTACTTCAGCCACTGCAAGTTCATAAGGAGCCTGAATGGGCAGGGCTTAGTTGAAGTAGTGTCATTTCCCCACTTTTTCAATTTATGTCAGTTTGCTTCAAGATAGATGGCTCTTGAGGTCTGCTGCAGGAATCCATTGTACAAATCAGTGATGTAATGTCTAAAACTGTAAGATGAAGGGGACTATCACACCTGCGTCAATGGTTCCAACTAGTAGGCACTGGGACATATCAAGAGAGCTAAACAAAATGAGACTGAAGAGTTTAAACAGGAACGAGCCTGAGAAAAATCTTTGTTCCATTGACAGATTATTAATAGTCTCTTAAGGTCACTGGGTTCCATGTTTTAATTCAACATCTTTCTCGTCTTTTTTTTACTTAAATGTTGCTTCTTATAAGAAACCTCCAATAAAAGAACTTTAACACTGTTCTGTACATGTTTTGTTCTCAGAGTCCTTTTAGTTTTGTTTCTAGACTTTTTCTTTTCTCTTCAATTTGGATACCTTCTTGACAGTTCCATTTTTGTTAAGGAGCTTCATAACGCGCTCTTTGTGATCCAAGACCTTTAGCATGGATTCTCGAGCTTCATTTATTTGATCCATTACAAGTTTACATCTCTGCATATTTCCCTGAAATATAACAAATATAACACATTGAATTTAAAATGTTAATACTTTAAAGTACTGCATTTTATCTTTAATCATTTTGAAACACCAAAAAGTACAGAAGCTAAAGAACTGAAGTATTACTGTAGCATATCAGAAAGGACCATTCAGAACAATGTTCTCATGTAATTCCCCTCCCCAGTTCTTCTTGCTGACAGTTTTCTAATACAACTGGTTCCTATAAAAAGTGTGAACATTATTGCACACGACAAAAGTAAGGTAAATGATAACAAGGCAGGTATTGTATAGGGAGCCACATGCCAATACCATAATCCTGTCCTGCAACCCTGCATCCTCTCCCCTACTCTGCCCTTCACTAAAATGAAGTTTCAGATATTTTTATGCAGGCCCTAAAGAACTTCAGTTGAGAAAGATTCCCTTCTTTTAAAGTGTAGGTGAAAGATTCAATGGTGTTTTTTAACAGGAAATGGACACCAGAAAGGGGAAGGGGTGGCCTTAATGTCTAAATGCGTAGCACAAAAACTATGTAATAGTTTAGCATACACAAATTTATGGATTATATTATGTAATACCATGCTTTGAATGCAATATTGTCTGATAAAAGAATTTAAAATGAGTTGATATGTTCTAATATCAGAGCCTAAAAGAACCCTTTTATAATACCAAATTATTTCTTTATGATAACTTTCAGTTTAGAACATGCAGTTTTATTTTTCAGATATTAAACATCTATCCAAAAGATGTTCAGTTTTGATTTACAGTCCAGGAAATATGAATTAAATCAGTTTGTTAAGGAAAAAAAAATCTCCAATCTATGTTTTGTATTGATTAGCTTTCTTTTATACAGTTGTTTCATCTAGAAAAATCAAGGCTTTATTCTGCAGCTACAGCAGAGGCCAAAGAAAATTAGCAAAATAAGCACAACTCACCTGTATCAATTCATTTATTTGATGCATATCATCATCAGTTGCTGCCTTTTTCTTGGGGATAATGCCTTCTTGTAAGGAGGTGAGTCGTTCATACACATCATGTTCCAGATTAGTCTATAAAATATTGAGAATATTTAAGATTCACACTTTTTCATAACACGGTACAAAATTAGAAATTCAAATTTGGTGTTTATCTGATTTCAACAGATTCTCAATACAATTTCATTGCTTGCAGAACAGCTTGATACTGACATTGCTTGATACTGACAACAACATCAATATGTTTCAAAGAGGAAGAAGGAACACCCTAATTCACTGAATGAGAAAACATGGACTCGAACTGCTCTACAGTGTAGAAACACCATACCACCCTTCCATATAGCCCAACTCTTCTCCAATGCCTGTAAAACTTTGTGTTTAGTTCTTCATTCTCATATAACTACCACCTAGTGCTTAGATTAAAATCTTAACTTGGTTTAAAGCTTCAGACACTTTTTAAAAACCAATTGTTGTCTATGTAAAACAACAAAATCTTGGTTTTCCTTTCTACACCTCTGGAATACTGTACAAAGACTTAAGCTTGGCACTAAGCTTAAGCACCTACCTCTCTTGCAATAGGAAAAACCAGGAATATATAATAGTGCTGCCTCAGATCAGTGGTTCCATACCATTTCTTTCAAGCAATGTACCAGAGGTAAGTTTTGAGCATTTGAACAAAGTATCAGTATTTATGCCTGACTCAAAACCTCCTTCCTTAGTAAAGTTTTAGGTTTATGTGATTTACCTGCATCATTTTTGAAGAAATAGTCATTACAATTTATGATAGTTTCTATATGCAACTTTTCAAATAACTTCCTAAACAGTTGTGGAATTATTTTATTCAGAATCAACATCACTTTCCCACTTACCAGCTGTAATAGCTGTGCTGCACAGAGATGGACTTTCCAGCCCTGTGCACGGCAAGATACCCCTTTCTGATTAGCTATCTCTTGTAGCATAGCTTTCTTCTCTTCTGGAAGGAAGGAGAGATGAGAAGGAAGCAAATAACGATGCAAAAAAGAGGGGTTTTTTTTTAACAGAACAAAAGGAGAGACAAATTGTCTAATAGAAGAAATATGTATACAGTAGTTTATACATTAATTATCTAATGGTCAACTTCAGTTATTGGAATGGAACAGCCTTAAAAATCAAACTCTGATTTCAATATGTGAAGATGTTTTAAACAAAAGCAAAACCTCTATTCAGATGGAAATGAATGGGAAAGTTATTTCAATCTAGATGGTAAGAATTTCAAAGTTCATAAATAGGAACTTTTAGCTAGGGAATGTTGATTTCTGATGATAAAGAATAATGGCAGCATGCAATGGTAAGAAAGGTAGTGGATCTGGAGCTGAAAGATGAATCAAAAAGTCATGAAGAAACACATGGTTGAGTTGACACAAGATAATGCTGGCTTATGGCAATGGGCAAGGTTGGCAGAATACACTGGGAAGAGCATCTGGAGATCTTAAATGTGGGCTTCTTCAAACAGAGGCACTGGCTGGAGCTGCTGAATTTGTGAATGCTGCTGTTTAGTGATCAATAAGTAGCTGGAGGCCTACACAGATTGGTTAAAATTCTGCTATTCACAGTAATAACTAAGACCCAAAAACGGAGTGGAAATCATTTGGTTACAACAAATTGGGGGGGGGAGGGGGGAGGGAGAGAGAAAAGACATGGAAGAGTAACTGTGACAGTGGTAGTGAACTGAATTAGATGAAAGACAGAAAAGAATTAATTGAAGATTAGATTGGAGGAGTGAGTTATAATGTGAGTGGAGCCTGAGATAAATTCTCTCACTCCCCCAAGGAAAAAAGACAGGACTATGAAATACTGCCTAGGTTGAGAGCAAGAGAAATAGGAGAGGAGGAAACAAGGAGAAGATTAATATAAAGCAAGTGGTAGATCTATGAGTGGGTTAATGGAAGATAGGTTGGATGATTGGTCGTCCTTTTGGGTGGGATGGTGGTTGTATATCCATCCTTGTTTTACTTGGCCTCTCGGCAGCATTCTATACCATCAACTCAGAGGATAGGTAGCAGTTTTGTGCTGAATCCCTTTCTCCACGGTTGATTAGTTAGTGGTGATTGGGGAGGAGAGGTCCCTCCTTTGGCCCCTACTATATGAGGTGCTACAGGGATTGGTGCTCTCGCTTCTTTTATTCAACATCAGGAGACTGCTGAATGAGATCTGCCACTAAGGATTGAAATATCATCAGAATGCTGAAAATACCCAATTGTATATCTGCCCCTGGCAAATTAAGCAATGCTATGGGTGTCTTATCCTGGTGCCTGGAGATTATAAGGGTCTGAATGGGGATCAGCAGGCTTCAACTGAAACCTGGCAAGAATGAATGGCTTTGAGTTTAGGCTTTCTGCTTTTAGGACTTCGCTGCTGGATGGGGTTACACTGCTCCAAACAGACCATGTGTGCAATCTGGGGGTCTTCCTGGACTCATAACTCCTACTCAGTGAGGTGGCAATCATGGTTATGAAGTTTTTTGCACAAACTGTCTTCTGTGGTAATTATGCCAGTCCTAGATTGTGAGACACCACTCATGGTCACTTATGCCCTGCTTACTTCCTTGTTGGATTACTGGAATGGGCTCCAACTGTGGCTATCTTTGAAGAGTATCTGGAAAATTCAGCTGTGGAAATAGCGGGAACAGTTATATGAGTTTCTAGCACAGACATGTCAAACACAAGGCCTGGGGGCCGGATGCGGCCTGCGAAGTGGTTTCATGTGGCCCGCGAAGCCATCCTGGAAACAGTGAGGGAATAGCCCCAACTGTCTTGGCCCTGGCCCAGGCCGGCTAGCCGGGAGCCAATGTACAATTTTGTGGTGGCCATCTATGCTGAAACGAATTCAGTCTCCCTCTGACTTTGCCCTGGTACCCATCATGAACAACCTGGCTAAGGAAGAACAAGCACAGCAGCAGCAGCCTTGAGGAGGAAGTAAGTCCAGCTGGGCGTCCCCTTGGGGAAGTGGGCCTGGGCTTGGTGCCATGGGTGCTCGAGGGCCAGGCTGGGCATTTGACCTCTGCTGCCCAGGGCTCCGGGCAGCCCACACCACCATCCAGCCCCCCCCATGGCCTGAGAGGAACAGTGAGGCTCCTCCAGTGGACCATGTCTTGGCACTTGCCTTGGTCCCACCCCCTTCTGCTAGAGACCCTCAGATCTGTCCTACTCCTGCCCAGGCCCCCACAGGCACCCTTGGTGCGAACAATGTAGAGCTGGCCATGCCCACCCAGTAGGCCACACCCACTCCATCCACGCCTACCCAGTAGGCCGTACCCACTCTGGCCACATCCATCCGGCCCCCCAAGGGCAACTGCAATGCTGATGCGACCCTCAATGAAATTGAGTTTGACACCCCTGTTCTAGCAGAACACTTGTTACACTCCTGCTTTGCAAGCTACATTGATTATCAGTTTGCTTCCAGGTCCAATTCAAGTGTTGGTGTTGACTGGGTTATTTTAGGGACCACCTCTCCCCAATTTCATCTGTTTGTCCTACTACTTTAAACAGAGAGAGCATGTTATGGGTTTCATTATCTAGAGAGCTGCATCTGGCTGGCCTCAGGCAGTGAGTTTTTTCTGCTATGGCGCCCATGTGGAATGTTTTTCCCCCAAAGTTAAGGCTGGCTCTATCACTTCTGAAGATCCCTCAAGACTTCATGATGCTGGTAGGGGACACCAGGGGACTGGTGAAGTAGTGTGGTGGCTGTTATTATTAACATAATCTGCTACTTATTTTTAGCTTTGTTTTTATAGTTAATGTTTTTTAATAATAATAATTTAAAATAGTTTTATCTTTCTTGTATGCCATCCAGAGTCATGTATTTTGTGAGATGGATGGCTATATAAACTGGACAAAAAAATTATTGGTTTATTGAAAGTATTGAGTGATGTTGATGCCAAAATATGCCTACCGGGAGTTCTAGTACCATATCAGCCTCAGGGCAGAGTAGCACTTTTGCATTGGTAGCCTAGATAATTACTAGAAATTCTGTTTTACAGATGGCTCTATGTGGCCTTTATATGTATGATTGAGCCAGAGGAACCAGGTAGAAATGTTTTTTTTATACTGTCCTGCACATGGTCATCATGTACAGGACTGTCCTGCTTGAATCAGTTATGTGGTTGATGGTTTCTACTCTAGGATGATGATGCTGGACAATTTGTATTTGCTGCCCCTAGAGATAAAATTGGAGGTAATGCAACATTTACTACAGGCCTACACAATATATGGTCTGTGGGCTACATGCAGCCTGCCAAACATCCCTGTTAGCCTGCTGATGTTTTTTTTTTTTTAAAGGTCAATAAATTTGCAACCCTCAGTCTCTAATGCCTTCAGGTCCAGTACTGCCACGTGTTAGTTGTGAAACATCTGATCGACACACTGGGTATTTTTAATGTATCAATGTGACCCTTTCCCTTCTACAAATTGTGCAAGCCTGCACAAGAAGGTGGGTATCACTTGTTATATCTACTTCAGGGGTCCCTAACCCCTGATCTGTGGAGCAGTACCAGGGCGTGGCATGCCAGCAACCGGTCCGCACAAACAAGCAAAACCCCACCCATAGGATGCAGGCAGTACACAAAACCACGCACCCTCCAGTCCACGGAAAAACCGCTCTCCACCTAATTGGTCCCTGGTGCCCAAAAGATTTGGGACCTCTGATCTACTTAATACTTCACAGTAGAGATACTGTACAGGATAGGAAATATGGGAATTTCCCAACAATCTGGAGAGCAATTCCGTTGGGAGATTTATTAACCTCTGGAATAGACAGATGATGAGAGCTTTTGATAAGCAACAGTCACTTGTGCCCTTGTTATCTCTAAACTGAATTTCTCTAATTTGGGCTTGCTAGAAACTTTGGCTGGTACAAATTCAAGATGTTTTGGCTGGTACAAATTCAAAAATAACTTATAAAATGCCATGGTTTGGCACCTGGGTATTTGTGAGACTACTTGTTCCATATAGAATTTGCTGGCAGAGAATGCATACTGAGAGTCTCTACTCCCTATTAGGTGTAGCAGGAGCAGATTAGGTCGCAAGTATTCTCTGAAGGTACTGAATTCTCTTAATGTGGATATCCCCAGAAGTAAAACTGCTATTAAGAAACCTAATACTTGCTAAGACCTGGTTATTAGACAGGTATTTTAACAAATGAAGAATTGATGAAAAATGTATTGGGAATGTATGTTGGCACTGGTTATGATTATTGATAGTGGGTTGGATTTTATGTGAATATTTATTAGACAAATATAATTGCTTTAGGGCAGTAGGCACACTACATATATAAAGATCAGACCGTATGATCCAAATATGTAATGCAGCATTTTTCCCCCATACAATTTGTTCTATTTGTGTTAGCCATCAAGAAAAATCATATAACTGTTGCAAAGCTGTGAAGATCCACTTTCAGCTCAGAAATGTTCTAATAATTATGTAAGATTTTAAAAAGTTATATTAAGAGACAATTTCTTAAAATTGGGGGCGGGGTAGATGGGTTGCATTGGTCAAAGACTATCAGGGTTATGGTTTAGGGGAGCTGTGAATTTTGGTGAAATAAGTGCATCAAGCTTATTGTGGATCTGACACATTTTTTTAAATGCTACTATGAACTTTAGAGCAATAATATCAGGAGTTACTGGGGCACAAAAAAAGAGCAATTACTGTACCTAATAGCAACTAGAAAAATGATGTAGATTACGTTATATATACAGTTGAAATATTATATACTTTCAAATAGGCTTTGCATGCATTGTTGATGGCTAATACATCATTTCAATACACTAGTACAAAACGTGTAGTGGAAGACATACCTTTTACTCTGACATCACTGTATCGCTGGAAATGATGATAGGCTGCTTTCCATGGATTGCGATAGTGACGGAGCAGAGTTATGGGTGGTCGTGGACGTACAGGCACATACCTCACTCCTTCTTCATCTAAGAATAAGTTTTAAGAATAATTATTCAGGCTTTGCTAAGAAGTTTGTATTATGAACATCCCATGACTGACTTTTAAACCAGAGGTCAGTTCTACTTTGTTTAATACTAGTTCCAGCATTAATCTGGGAAAAATATTTAATTTGTACTGGGTTTTGGAAATAAAGCATCTTTTTTCCCTTTTACTGAAATGTGGTATTTGGGTGGATGAATAGATATGGTTTTGAGAGATGGCTGAATTCAAATAATCACCTATATATTCTTTTGGAGGTGATTTGCGCTTTTCTGCCTTTATTAGCAAGTTTTTGGTAGTGGATTTCTCATCATCCGTGCTATTGGTCTCCATCATATCCCCTTCCTCTGTAGAGATGATGTGTTGCTGCTTACGTGGTTTTTTCCTTGGGGAAGCACCTGGCGGCAAGTCACTTTGGGGTACTGTGAGATTGTTGGCCAGCAATGTAACAGATGGAGATACACTATTTGTGCTCAGTGGAGGGACTGCTGGAAAGGAAAAAGAGAAACAAGTTTGAGAAATTTCAGATAGCGTTTACAAAACACTCCAGATTTTCTGGCTTATTTCAGAAAATGCAATGTGCTGCATCACTTGTCCTATTTGTTACATGCATTTATATGACACAAACCTTTAGAATATTCTGCAAAATTATTCTCTGAAAATGGCTTAAAGGCTTCACAATAGTCTGCCACTGTTTAGTGTTCTTTTCAACAGTTTGGCCTTGTACTAAGAAACCAATTAGCCTTTTTGATTACATTTGAGAACCATACAGTAACTACGAAAATTTCAAGCCTCATAAATACAATAAAATATTGATAATATTTGACATTTAAAGTTGGGGTAACGTAAGACAAAATTCTTTTCTATAGAAGAAACAAACAAAAGATCCTCAGGGAGCTTTATTAATAAGATGCCTCACAGTTTTCCTTTTATCTTGAACATAAAACAATAATTTGCTTATTTATTTAATCAAATTAATATAGCCATCCATCTTTCTCCAAAAGCAAATCAAGGTTTAGTTGAAGCCTGTTGTTCCCCATCCATTTCTGAGAACTGAAGAAGCTTTTTGGATGAGAAATGAAACATTTTTAAAGAAAAAAATCAAGTCTTTTTGCCTTTTGGAAAAAGCACCTTTGGGATGATCCAGATAATTTATTTTCTCCAAAGTTCTCTGGAACTGTTGCTCAACCACTGCCTCTATCACCACCCTCTCCCCACCAAAGTAAGTGAAATACTGGACAAAAATTGTCCAGTGATGGCTCAAGAAGAGGGCAAGCCACAGCCTCTTTAATAGATAAATAGATAACCTCCTTCACTCAGAAGAATTCACCACCACTAGAGCTCATTCACATGATACCCCCTCAGACCACTTTAACCAACCAGAGGGTGCTATGGATCTAAAGAGCATGTGGCCAAGCTCGCAATGCTAAGGCCCTGTCCATTTGGTGGGGGGCAAATAGGTTCAAACGGTTTCCAGATAACTGGGCAAGATTCCATCCCAAACTTCTCTGGATTTGTGTCAACACGAGTATCCAACTGGGAATGAATTTATCTGACAGATACTATACAAATTCTTCCATATAGTACCCCCCTTAATCAGGAGGTCTTGGGTTACCTAAAGCAGAGCTGCAGGACAGTAGTCTGAAGCTGAAATACGGGCAGAGATGTACTGGTACTTTGCTACCCTTACTATCATGAGGTAGACTTTTAATTGCGGCTCTGACTTATGTTCAGTTGAGTTCATCCTTATTCATGTCTCATAGTTGTACAAACATTAACAATGTTTTTAACAGATACTCCAATTATAGGCAATTATAGGAAGTGATATGCAGGTTAAATAAAACATGTTTGCTTCTTCATATATGGCAAGCAAGAACATCCAATGTTAGCAGTCTTGTCATACAATACCTGTGTAGGAAATTTCCCTCCCCAAGTTTTCAATGATATGCTAATTTTTGGTTAAGCAGCAATTTATGAATTTCTTTATGAAATAATATAGAAAATCAAAGCAATTAAAATGAAAAGTCATTTTACCATTATTTATTTGATTGATTGATTGATATGCTGCCCATTTTATCTCGAGGTGACTCTGGATGGCACATATTAAATCATATTGAAACAAATGCTTAAGTTGGTTTTCCTAAACAATTCTAATCTCTTTTTTGTAACAATTTAAACAAATCTAAAGGTTTTCAAAATAGACTGGAAAACCATTTTACTTGGATGATATAAGACTCCTGTGAGCAGAGGTTCAGACTAGAAGACCTCCAAGATCCTTTCCAGCCCTACGATTCTATAAATGAAAAAAACAAAAACAAAAACAAAAAAAACCCGTACCTGAAACTGGTCGCATTATATCCAAAGGTTCCACTTCCTCTTTTATTTTTATCTCTGGTACAACAGGACCCAATACTGTAGAGAGGATACCACTTATGGTTGATGGAGGTGGAGGAACAGTTACAACTGTGGCTGAAGTAGGTGGAGGAGCTGGAAGCGTTCCTGGAATGCTTGACTGAGCAGCTGTGGGCTGCAAAGGTGGACTAGCTGCCGTAATGATCGTTGGAATGGCAGATTGTGGTTGCTGAGAAGTCGGAACTGAAACAGGAGGTTGCTCATTACTCTGTATGGATACTGCCTCCACAGATACTGTTACAGGAGGGGCCATTGACACATGGATTTCTGGTTTAGGTTTAACACTAGACAGAACACACACATTAAAAAATTAGATCCTTTCTTCAAGATCCTACAACAGTAAACTTACAGTGGTCACGGTGAAACAAGCAGAGTCACATAAGTGTAGAAATTAAATCACCATGAACGCACTGCAAATTTTGAAGCCTTCTCCAACACAAGTTCTGTGCATTTCTCTCATAAGAGCCTCCTAGCCCCAGCTTCCACTTTCTTCTGAAACGGGAGCTATGAATGTAGGATGACTCCCAAATCATCTACCACCTCCTTGGTAGACCCTATTATTAAATGTTTGCTGAGGACCAGCAGCTTTGTTTTGGTAGGGTTTATTCCAAGCCTGCTTCATCCCATCCAGATATCTGTGCAAAATTTCTGGTATCGTTCATGATGGCAATATATTATCATGACTTTGATCAACATACTGGTGATACCTCACTTGAACTAATGGATGACTTCTACCATTGGTTTCATTTAAGTATTAAACAGCATGAGGGAAAGCCTTAAGCCTTATGGAACTTTATGCTGGAGCTTCTGTGGATTTCAGCTCTCTGCCTCCATGACCACCACTGAAGCAATCTACTCGGGTAGAAAAACTGTTCTGAAATAGTGCCCCTAACTTCCAGCTCTTGCAACTGGTCCAGTAGAAAGCTGTAATTCAATATTACCTACAGGTCTAACAGGACCAAAGACAGAATATATTCCCTACATCTATGTTCTGATGAAGTAGTTTCTTTCTCATGATGGGGTCTGAATCCTGACTGGAAAGATCCAAACAACCATTTTCCCTTTTCATCCTTTCTAGCTGATTTCTTATGATTTTCTCAGCCATTTTCCTTAAAACCCATGCATGGAAATGGAATCCAGGAGTATCTTCCTAAAGAGAGATGCCCTACCACTCCTTTAAAAAAGCAGATGGCATTATCCTCTTCTTTAAAGAAGTATTAATATTATGGGTTCAGCAACTCATGCCCTGCTTAGCCCCTAAAGGAGTTAGGATGGGTAAGGATTGAGCTCATTTGAGGCAGAATTCAAATTTCAGAAAACCTTGCCCCATTACCTTGATTTACACAAGCTAAAATCTTGCTCAGTGAACATTTATACATACATTTGCTTATATTACTTGTTTTAAACATTTACCATTGTGTGATTTATATGAGATACGTTTTTGTTTGCAAAGTTAAAATAAAAGTTTTTTTTAAGGGGGGGGGGGAATCCTACCCAGTTGGTCTTGGTGATCCACTTGCACTTCTCACAGAACTTTCTACACGAGTGCCAGCAACCTCAGTTGGTTGAGGAGGAATTAGGCTTTTCCTCACTGCCAGCCTGCAAAATAACGTGCTAACTATTGTGAAATTTCCTTTGTTTATAAGCATGAATATCTGTGTAAAAAGTATAGATCAACATTGTAATTACTTAAAAATATTATAGTAGTTCTCCAGTGGGGATAAAACAAGGAAGGTAATGTACTAGTCTGTTCTGCAAGTTTAAAACATTCATTCAAAACTGTCCTGCAATTTTGACAGCACCAACAAAAAGACTTTAAAATACTTTTTCTAGCTTTGATCTTCATATGATAAAAATACAATCAGATATACAAGATTGTTATAGTTTCTTTTATGCTTTATTGGTGTTAGTATTATCAACCATATGAAATATGGTTGATGAAATAACTGTTACAAAATAAACTTACTTCTTATATGGTGATGAGCATATCATAAATATAAATATTTGCACAAATATTACTGCAGCTGCAATTTTACTTACCCATCAGTAGTAGGTTTCTTTCGGAGAATGCTTGGACGTGGGGATGAACCCTGAGCTGATGTGCTAGAATTGGCACTCTGGCTGTGAGTTTGCACCACAGTAGTTGAAGCCGAAGCAGAGTTGAATGTATTGCTAATTGGATTGGCCATAATGGTGGCTCCATCTGCCAAGACCACTAGGGAAAGTGGTCAGAAGAATAGAAATTTAGTTGAAGTGATTATCTGAAAATTATAATTTGCTTTCCTTAAAATAATCCATGTTTGCACCACAAATATTGATATTTTTAATTTATAGGGTACTCTTATCTATACTTTTTCAGAATTAAATCTAATGATGTTCAATATAGCATTCTCCTTCAGCAAGACTCCAAATAACTCAGATTGTAGTTAACTCCTTCCTCAAAGAAAAACGTGATACATACCGTATATTCCGGCTTATAAGACGACTGGGTGTATAAGACGACCCCCAACTTTTGAGAAGATTTTCAGGGTTTAGAAAGTCGTCTTATACGCCGGGAAATACGGTACAATATTGAATTTCTGTTTATAGATGAGCACAATAGGAGCTACATTCCTTTGTTGCTAGAAAGCGAGTGTTGCCCACCACTGCTTCCCTAATGCTTCCTGAACTCAGCTGGTATTTTTTTTCCATATATTTTATTGATTTTTTAAAACATAAATCACTTAATAGTTGGTAAACAGTGTGTTTGCTGGGTTTACATTTGTAAAGAAAAATCATTAACAATTGTTTTCTATAATCTATAATCCACATAGTACATTTACTTGATTTCCCCTTTTCCCCAAAATGTCTTCTTTGCAAACCTTGAAATAATATAGTTCTTATTATTTTGATAAAATATATTTAATCTTTAAATATTCCATTTAATGTGCCTAATCATCTAATCCTTTAGGTCTTATTCAAAACATTTTTTTCTTTTTTATACATTATAATTTCCCTAAATTCAGACACATTTAATTATTTAAAACGTTTCCTTCATCTAGGCCATTTCAGCAGTATTACCGTATATGCCGGCGTATAAGGCGACTTCCGCAAGCATTAAAATCGGCGCCGAAGTCGGGGGTCGTCTTATACGCCGAGTCGTCTTATACGCTGGAAATACTGGTAGTTTCTGGCGTATAAGACGACGTTCTAGGCATGCTACTCGGTGCCAAAGACGGGGATCGTCTTATACGCCGGGTCGCCTTAAACGCCGGCATATACGGTATATTACTTATATCAAGAAATAAAATAAAAGGGGGGGGAAGCATACAGTATTATTTAAGGAATTCATCTCTCTTAGAATGACATATGTATTCAGAATCTTTTCTGTTTCTTTAACCATATTCAAACAAATGTTTCTTTTTTAAATATTCTCTCTGGTAGCTCCCATCATCTATTTTCTTAATTTTCACTTTGATCCTTTTCCTTTGACCAGTATCTTTCTTAATCAATGTGATTTGCTGAATCAAAAAGTTTTTTCATATATTCATGACTGCTGCTATAGGTATAAGAAGTAAATCGAATGTTTCTTTTTTTTGTAGATGTAATGTCCTTAATTTATATAGCTTACTGTTTTCTACTATTTAATTGCTTTTCCTGAAAAAGAATAACGTGATGGGCGATGTAGAAAAATGGGATTTTTGAATGCTTTGTCCTGTTAGTGCTTATTTCTGTAAAAAAAAAAAATAGGGCTGGCCACTAGGGGGCAGATTGGTTTTAAATTCAGAGAACAGCTACCCGTATATTCCGGCGTATAAGACGACTGGGCGTATAAGACGACCCCTGACTTTTGAGAAGATTTTCAGGGTTTAGAAAGTCATCTTATACGCCGGAAAATACAGTATTTCTATTCTTTGAGGTTGAAAGAAAGAACCTTTTTCCTGCCTGACGACACCAAAACATTTGCAATAAAGTTGCTAGTATGGACAACAAAATAGCAGTCCAGATGCAATCCTTTGTATGTTTCCTTTAAAATTGCAGCATAATCAAAAGAACTTCTTAAAAAGCAGTTATTCAGAATGTGTTTTCCTAATAACAGAAATACTATCCAAATAGCAGATGGCTACCAGAAAAAAAGAAATGTTTAACTAGGGCCTATATTATGGTCTTTTTATTACTAGATGAAGACCATCTTAAATGGTATGCTTTCAAAATTCTTTGCATACTACCGTATATTCCGGCATATAAGGCGACCCGGCGTATAAGACGACCCCCGACTTCGGTGCCGAGTCACATGCCTAGAAAGTCGTCTTATACACCAGAAACTACAGTTATTTCCGGCGTATACGACGACTCGGCGTATAAGATGACCCTCGACTTCGGTGCCGATTTTAACGCTTGCAAAAGTCATCTTATACGCCAGAAAGTACGGTATTACATTTTATGGAAATTTGTTTTTATACTGTTGATGATTTTGTTTTAGGTTTAATGTCTGCATCTTACTTTTATGCTTTTAAATTTTATGTTGTAATCTACAAAAAACTAATTACCGGAAAATATATCTATATCTATATATCACAAATAAATCAGAATAAATAAAAACCTGATGTCTTGGTTTCAGTTTGTGGTTGCTGAGGCCCCAGTGGTGTGGTTTGAAGACCTTGAGTGCCAATTGGTGTAGCTGGATGTAGGCCTTGGGTTCCAATTGGCGTAGACTGTATTCCTTGAGCACTGATGGGTGCTGGCTGTATCCCCTGTGCACCAATTGGTGTAGACTGGATGCCCTGTATATGACGGGCGTGGGATGCATCTACTGTCATCAGCTGCATAGGATTAAGATGCACTGTCGAAGCTACTCCTACTCCAGTCTGAGCTGCTATGGCAGAATTGGGAGCCTGGGCTGAAACTGGAACAACATGCTTAATAAATATTCTGGTTTGTGTGGGAGTAATTAAGTACAATGTTCTCAAATGCACTTCATACCTGATAATGTAATTATATATCAGTAGTTTGATTGTTGCAAAAGTTTAAGATTTATGTGAATCAGGTTTAGCTTTAAATCCACACAATGACTATACTGTTTCATGTTGCTAAATATATTATAACTTGCATGAACATGATTAGTGCCACTAAACTTAAATTATTTGCTTTTACACCAACTCAAGAAAATATAAGTCAATTCATATCCCAGCTCCATTCATCACAGCATGTTTAATTAGCCAAATTATTATAGTAGATGATACAGTCTAGTATAGATAAAAACAAACCATATAATTGCGGAACTCATGTAATAATACAGTGATGTGAATTTGAATCAGAAAGTATCTGTTTCAATATTCTTTGAACTTAAACTTATTGGATTGTTTTACCTTGTATTTTCCAACAATGCAATTTATACTTACAATGGAGAGAGCTTGTTTGCATAACATTCAATCCAAGCTCATTGCCAGAGTTGTTTCTTTGCAATGCATAAATCAGAATATTAATCTCTTATATGATGTTTGTAATTATTACTAAATAATTCATGTGGCTAACCTGGACACTTAGAAAAGCACTGAAAAGGCATTTTTCATATAGATTTCAGATTTTTATTAGTCATCTACCATTAAGATTGCTTATTTACCTCTGAAGAACCTAGTTGAATAAATTACTAACATTTTGTTGTAAGCCAGCCAAAGACGTTGGATATGATGGGTGGCAAATAAAATTTCATAAATAAATAAATATCTAACAGTTTCAAAGTTTTCTTATATTATTTTAATTAAGCAAAAGATGATGAATGTCTTTTTCTACTTCTGTGTTCGGTGGCCACACTTTCACCTTAAACATTGTTTTTATGTATAAAGTTATACTGCTGTTCTAAGTAAAGCACCATTGTAAATTAGAGAAATTAGTGAATTCTTACCGGGATATTGGCGGATAGTGGATACAGAGCTGGTAATAGGTGTGTAAGTGTGGGCAGCCAAAGGATACGAAGGAGGATATGTTGGTAAGAAATACTGAAATTGAACAGGCACTGACTGTCTATAGGAGTAGAAATGAAAATTATTAAATATAGTCTTGCAATTAAATCTATTTAATAAATTATAGTTATGATTACTACATTTTATTATAATGCAAATTATAGATCTTATTTGTTAGCTTATTTGGAGACAACAGATTTGAAAAAAAGTTTAGAAGGGCATTTGAAAAGTTTGTGGAAGCAACTCATTTTTTTCTATACTTTGCTACATTATAATCCAATTAAAAGAATAAATATGGGGGTAAAGGAAAGGATTTTTACATATTACTTGTTTAATGCCTTGGTGTTTTTTTTTTTTTTTTTTTTTACAAAAAATCTCTCCATTCGGTTGGTAATTAATCTAGGACAGCACTGTATACATTTGACAAACTTTAGAAATGCATTTTTAAGCACATACATATTACAATCCATTCCTAAATACAGCCGGGTTTGACATGCAGCATTTGACAAGGAGCATTATAGGTATGGTAGTACTTGACTTATGCTCACAGTTGAGAACAGAATATCTGTCATGAGTTATTGCAGACATTAGTTGAGTCATTGCGTGTAGTCCTAAGTCAAGTTATCATGGTCATAAGTGCAAAATCATCTTTACCAACTGGCTAAAAATATAGCAAATTGCGATCACATGACTGCAGAATGTTGCAACAGCTCCTAACTGCGTACCAGATGCCAAGTGTCTAAATTGTGATCATGTGACCATAACAGCAGGGTGATAGTCATAATTTCAAATTTAGATCGTAAATGACATTTCCAAAGGTTGTCATTAATTTGTACTGTCATTAAGTGAATGATTGTAAGTGGAGAATTGCCTGTATTTACTATTAATTATCCTTCATTTCCTTGCATCTACATTATTGAAGCAACATAATGCAAGGTATTTTCTGTCTTCATTACCTAAATGGGTTTGTGCCCAGGAATTTTAATTCTTTCAAAATCATAACAGATATCCAATAGAATTACACAAAAGATTAATTGTTTTAGAAACTGTAATAATATAGATTCCATGTAGAGAAGATTAAGATCCTATATAAAAAAATCTCAGTTACCTATTATCATTTCTAGCTTCCATTGCCACTGGATTTGGAGATGCACGGTGACTAGATATGGGAATGAGATTACTCCTTTCTGCTGTATAATCAGACTGGATGCGGGGAGAGGTATGTGTGATTTGCTGGGGGACGACTTTAGCTGCACAGTAATAAGAGACAATCCAGTTATTCACCAAACTCAGTAAACTAAGACTAAAAAAATAACATTATGTAGAAGATGATGTTCAGGGAACCAAACCTCTCTGTATTGTCCTTTTAACAGAAAGATGTTCCATGATAATTTAGAGCTGAAAACAGGCATTTTCAACTGGGTAGAAATGTGATATATACAATTCATAAAGTATTATATAGGCAAAGAGATACCTATAGGGCTACTGAAGGAAAATGAAGGATGAATCTAACCAGATATGATTCTATTAAGACTTTACTTGTGGGGTTAAGAGCAGTGAAACATCATTATTTCTCTGCCCTTTTTGTGTCATCTAGTGGCCTGTTTCAAAATCACCAGGTCCCTCCTGGGACAGGCAGCTCACGTGATCAACTTCGGGGCCATGCAGAAAAATTTATAGAACACCTGATGGACAGTCACTTGTATCTGTTCTCAATTGGAATCCATGCATGGTGCGGGTCTATTAGAATGCCTGGGGAAAGGACTTCCCAGTTATCCAGAAACAGTTTGACCCTCTTGGTCCTGATTAAGTGGATAGGGTGTTCAGTGCTGTTAGTGTAACCACCTATCAATTAGATCCCTGTCCCTCCTGACTGGTGAAAGCTTCCAGGACAGCAACTACCAGATAGGTTTAGGCAATGATATGATTTTCACTTCAGGATGAATGTTTCCATGGTTAGGCGGCAGTTGTGGCTAGGAGATCCTTTGCACAAATATATGCTGTGTGCCAGTTGTGCCCTTTCCTGGATCTTGTGTCCCTGCATACAGTCACTCAAGCACTCAGAGCTACTCTTGAGTATTCAGAAGCTACGACTGGTACAGGATATAGCGATGTGGACAGTTCTTGGGGCCCCTATAGTGGTTCAGGTTGCATTGCTGTTGGCTTCTGGGTCCAATTCAAGATGTTGGTTATCATCTTTAAAGCCCTTCACGGCATGGCTCCAGGCTATCTGAGGAAACATCTCATCCAAACAGAAGTGGCTCAACCACCCATGTCGGCAAAAGGGGAATGCTGTAAACCGCATCAACTAAGGAATTCCAACTGGTGGGATACAGGAAAAGGGCCCTTTCTGTCCTCCAAAACATCATGCCCTCCAATGTGAGATTCACACCCATCCTTTTGGCCTTCTGAAAAGACCTGAAGACCTGGCTCCACCAACTGACCTGGGGCCCCACTGGGGGCATGTCATTCTGGAGGTGATTAATGAACTATTATCTTCCCCTGTATGCATCTTGCTCTCTTCCTTCCCATTTTGTCAATTTTAAATCAATTTTAGTGATATTTATCGTTTTAACATTTTGTTTTTATGATTATAAGCCACCTCTAGGCTAGATTGGTGGCATATAAGTTTAATAAATAATAAATTGCCTACCTCTGGGAAAAACAAAAATAATACTTAAATATTACAAATCAAATTACAGTATAATATAAAAACAGAACCTACTCACCAACTGGGATGTTTGAAGTGGTCACAGCTGTTGCATGGGATGAATGTGAGGGCATAGTCACAGTGACAATTGTGCTAGTGGCTGCTTGAGTGTGAGGTATGGGACCTAGAAGAAAAATGTAACACAATTAAATCTTTGTTTAGAAAATGTCAATGAATATAGATGAGAAGAACAGAATAATCTATGCAAGAAAATATATTCTATTGATAGAAGCAAAGTAAAAGGAATGTCAAGCAGTATTGTTCACATGGTATTACACTGTGGGGCTAATTAAAAGGGATATACCCCAAATTCTAGCCCTTATTTGTGCCCCTACAATATTGCTTTCTCCCAAAATGTTTCATATGGCTCATGACCACCAAAACGTTGCTACTCTCACTCATTTCATTATTGTGAAAGACAAAATATTTTGTTTGAGCAGGGTTTTGCAACATTAAAAACTAGTTTTTCAGTTTTACAAATAGTTCCGAAGAAATGCTGAACCACAGATACTTACCAGCTGTAGTCACAGAAGGAATAGTATTTGTTGCTAAAATTGGTGCCACAGTTGCTGCTGCTACTGGAGTACCAGTACTAAAAATTGTTTTCTGTAGAGAAAAAAGTTGTATATGAAAAACTGTTGAAAATGTGCTTTAAAATCTTACTGTATCAGCTTGCACTAGTCGCCATGCTATTAGCCCTTACAAAACATATGTGGTTAAAGCCATGGTTTACTGAATAAAGTAACAAATGATCTCAGTTAAGCTGTCACTGAGCATAATATGCAGCAATTGAGATCATGCAATTTATTAAGTTAAAAAAACCTTCACTTGCTTTCAAAATGTGATTGTGAATGCCCCAATGGAGAACTGTTGGGTTGTATTCATAATAATTTACCTGAGCCATGGGGTGAAGCTGTTGTTTTTGTGTTCCTATGGCTGGATGGGAAGGTAAAGTAATTCTGGTTGCTGTATCCCTTGGCTGGGCAGGACGCTGAATACTGATAGGTGCAGAAGGTGGGTGCTGTTGAATTGACAGTGCTGGCCGACTGTTAAAAAAAAGGTTATTGTACTTAGGATAATTAAAAGACACAAGAGATATCATGACTTAAGATGTGCATTATCTAAATTAACATGTCAACAGCAAGAACTATCCTCTTGGAACATGAATCAGGATGATTTCATATTACATAGACAACTTACAGTGCATGGAAGCTGATTAGCATAGCAAAATACTGTGCACAAATGGCTTGGCTCATGGAGCAATTATCTAAGAAGGCAATCTGAAACAGCTTCTAAATAGGAGTATCATGCAAAGTGATCCTCTAGTGCAAACAGACCAACATGCCAATACATATATACATTCCAATTATATACTTGGTCTACTTAATGCCGTGTTCTGTAGCGGTTACCTGAGAGTAGATTCTGTAGCATGTGTGGTTGTTGTAGTAATAACAGGTGACTGAGCCCTTGTGGCTGAGACTGTTGCAACTACAGCAGGCGGAATAGTACTTGAAGTTGTCACAGCAGGCCGAGACTATGTAGGCATGAAAAAAATAGCATCTTATCAGCATTGCAATTTTGTCATTGTAAGAACTTTCAACTATTTCAGAATCTGCTTCTTTAAAAAATGAGACCTGATATTTAAGTTATATCCTAAATAATATGAAGCTGTATAAAATATGGTAAAAATTGTCAGAAGGCATTATTTTTAGAGCAGTAGAAAAGAAAAAAATGTATGACCAACCTTAAAAGAATAAAAAAATACTTTACATATAAATAAGTTTCAAAAATTAATCAACTACCACACTGAAGCTCTTAAATAGAAAGGCATCTTGAAGTTCATTATTAAGTATATTTTATTTACAGTAATTTCTCCAAAACTATTCCTATAAGAAGTTGCCAGATTTCCCAGATTATTTATGCAGTGAGCCACCAAATCTGCAAAGTGATTTCTTACTGAAAGAGACAACAGAGAAGCATTAAAACAATTAAATGACAATACCTCATGACTGCCACTTGCCTGGATAGGTTGATGAATGATATGCTGAACTGCTGGTTGAGCTGTTGCTGTATTTGGCAACTGTGAAGCTGGCCTCAAGACAGTTGTTACTTTAGAACTTGACATCACAGCAGCAGCAGCTGCACCTGAAAGAAACCAAACTCATATGACTGAACAACATTTAATGTTCCATTTTAAAAGTGTCAGATTAGTTGCATCTTTTATGCAGGAGACATGATAAAAAAACTAAGAAGGAATACTACCAGTACACATGATTCCAACTGTATACAACAGTGAGATTAGCCATACTTAAAACCACAGATTGGAAGAAGCCAATTGGGCCATCCAATCCAACATCTTGTGCAGAACTCCAAATTAGAGCATTCCTAACAAACCACCAAGTGGTTAATCTATCCAGTGAAGGAGAGCACATCATTTCCCTTGGAAGTTGGTTTCATTATCAATTCCATTATCATAAGGAAAAAAATGCTAACATTTAATTGTAATTTGCCTTCCCTTTAAGGCCATTATTCTGACTCCTGCATATGGGATGACAGAGACCATAGAGAACTTTTTTCCATGCAACTTTCTCTCAGAACCTTAAGCAGTGGTAGATTTATCCATACCTAGTCTCTTTTCAAGGCTAGATATATTCAGTCTCCTTAGTTTGGTCATATAAATATTTCCTGATGATACTGGATACTCCTTCATATTTCTTCAATTTTCTGTAATCTTGAACCAGCACTCAGTGTAGGCTCTGTCCAATGCCAAAGTCAATTCAACTACACACAGGAGGCTAGCCAGAATTATCAGGAAACTTTCATATGACCACACTAGGAAGACTTTTTTTATGCTTTAATTTTCACAATAGACTTATGATTTAGATTCCACAAATTTTTAAGGGCAGCTTATCTGTGGGTAGCACATTTTTATGGCATTTTGACTAAAAATTTGAAGATTGGCTTACCCACAGATGGTCTTATTCCAGAGTATATTCAGAATATGCCGTTACTTCTAAAATGTTATAGTGTATATACTTACAGATATCCTGAACCCAAGTTTTGACACCTAAAATTATTGGCTTATCTGCAATTATTTATGATATGTTATGTTCATAATTATTAGGAGTTATTAGAAAAAAATATTATTATTAAGGAAATATGCTGTTGACCTGGTTAAACCTTTTTTATGTTATCCTTGAAAAATGGAGAAATAGAGAAAGACCATATGACTTCAGCAGAACAAATACCACTATATGTATAAAACATTATCCATCTGGTTCAGAAGATCTGAAGTTATTTAATGTCAGAACATCCTCCCCATGTTTCTATGATTATATCAAAGAAATTCAGCCACTTCTTACAATTGCCCAATGGAACATATATCCTGCTTTCAAAGAAGATAAGTCTGACTTATTTTGATAATTGTTTGGATAAATTACAGTGGCTCATACACTGTGGTAAACCATGAACTATAACGTCACCATTTCAATCAGACTGCTAAGACAAACCTAAACAACTGTTCTTCTTAGAACTTAGCATAATGTGAATGCACTTCAAGATTAATTTCTTTAATGGGACTTGAAGTGGGAATCTCAGTGACTTTAACTGCAGTCAACCTTAACATACAATCATAACCATACTGTGATATGTCCTAAGCAACTGAATTTTTTTAAGATCAATGAAAAATTTCATAACACAAAGATGTATTATGATATCTACTCATGAGAACGTAGTTAAATAGAATTGCTTCAGATTCAACTCCAGCCTTCTCTAGATGCTTCACTTTAGGAGTAACATCTATATTAACCGTATCTAAAACTTACCCAAATGAGATTGCTATATAATCATTTGCTACAAGAAAATACAATTAAATTTACTACCTCGAGGCAAGTGAGAAGCTCCAATATGTAAGGGAGGTCCAGGAGCACTACTTCGGATAATTGACATCTGAACATTGGTTGTCATAATGTGGTGCACGCTATTGGGATGCCCCTGCATATAAAATAAAATAATTCTTTTTAAAAATTACATGAAAAATCTTGTGTAGAATTGATGGGAAAAGTTTAATTCACAAACTACAATTAACTTAATTGTATCGTTATTATACAATTACAATAACTATGGTTAATCTGAAGTTTGAAAGCAAATACAAAAGTAAAATTTAAGTATACATCTTTACAGTAGAAGCGTATTCAAGGCTTTTTCATTCTCTTCCATAGCCTTAAGAAATAAGCATTGTATTTGAGCAGGAAAAAAAAATAATACCTGTTGTCCACTTATTGTTGCTACAGGAATAGCAGATGCCTGTGGGATGCTACTCTCCATTGTTACATTAACCTGCCCAGGGACTTTGGTGGGACCAGACAGAGTAGATGGTGGTGCTGGTGGTGCTGGTGCAATAGGACGACTGGGTATTCCGGTCTTCAAAGAAGACTGCAAATAACATAAAGATACAATTGTTTGCTTTTTACATAGAAATAATATGAGTGTGTAACAGTTATTTTTCCTTGTGGCAGGAGCAGGCAACAAATAGCTTTTCAGATATTGCTGCGTTATAAACTCTCATCATCCCTTCCTACGGCCATGTTGCTAAGGTAGTTGGAATTTGGCAATATTTGGATGTCATTGTGTACCACTGCCTTAGAAGTTAGAATTGAAACACTAAAAGACAGCAAGCACCACCTATGCAAAGAAGCTGAAGAAACAGTGGACCACTTAGTTAGCTGCTGCAAGAACATTGCACAGGCTGACTACAAGCAATGGCATGACAGAGTAGCAACAATGGTGCATTGGAAGATCTGTAAGAAATATCATTTGCCTGCAAGCAAGAACTTGTGGGATTATATAATAGAGAAAGTAATAGAAAATGAAGAAGCTAAATTTACCCTGGGATTTTGGAATTCAAACAGATAGGCACCTGCCACATCTAGCAGTTAACAATTGTCAATAAGACAAAAAAGTCTGGATAGTGGATGTGGCAGTACTTGGAGACAGCAGAATGGAACAGAAGGAACTAGAGAAGATAACTAAATATTAAGACCTACAAATAGAAGTAGAACAACTGTGGCAAAAGAAAGCAAAGGTAGTACCATAGTCATAGGCACCTTGGGTGCAACCTAAAACAACTGAAGCACTATGTGCTTCAGCATTGACAAATTCACTATCAATCAACTGCAAAAGTTGGCTTTACTTGGGAACAGTTTATATCCTGCAATGATATCTGTCACACCATCAAACATCCACATCTGCCAATCCCAAATCCTTGGAAAGAACTTGATAGACAAAAATGCCAAATCCAATCTGAACATCTGGCTGACTTAGCAATGAACTGTAATAATAATTCATCAATCAATTGCAAAAGGCAGCTTTACTTGGAACAGTGTACATCCTATTCCTTAATAAAGACAGAAACGGACAGCAAGACAGCTGCCTCTGCAAAGCTGAAATTAGCTGCCACAAGATCACACAGATTGACTACACACCTTGGCGTGATAAAGTAACAACAATGGTGCATTGGAATATCTTCAAGAAATACCATTTGCCTGCAAGTAATAACTGGTGAGACCACAAAATAGACAAAGTAGTAGAAAGTGAAAATGCTGAAGTGCCCTTGGATTTTATAATTCAAACAAATAAATACCCCTAATAAGAAAAAATCAGGTTTAAAGTCTACATGTTTCCCCAGCATCTTTTCTAACCAAGTATGTATTTTTGTCCAATATTTCTTTGCTTTAACACATGTCCACCATAAATGATAAAAAGTTCCTGGTTTGTGATTACATTTCCAATATTTATCTGACATATTTTTAAACATTTTTGTTTATCTTGCTGGTGGCAAGTGCTATCTATAAAACATTTTGGGTAGTATACAAAATTTCATTACCTTGATAAGCCCCTCAGGAAAGGGAAGTGACACTGTTGGAGCCAAATGAGTTGGAGGAGCTGCCACTGTAACTGGTACACCAGATGGCACTGTATGGTGTTGAGTCAACATTTGCACTTGTGGATATGGTCGAACTACCACTGTTTCCTGCTTCTCTTCACGGGACTGAAGAGAGCCAGCAGGAACCACATGATCTCTGGGAGTCACTTCCAATTCTCGATTAGATTCATCACTCACTACCGGAGAAGGGGAAAAAACAGTATAGAAAAATTGAACTATTATGAAAGGTGACAATTTATTAAACTCTGTAAACATTCTATTTAGTTTCAGTAGATTTACTTCCATGGAACATCATTCTTGGTAAAAATGCCTTACCTGTTGTTGCTGGATTTATCAGTCCAATAGATCCACTGGTGGAGATTGGAGGAACTGGACCTAGACTTGTGGGAGGGGCTCCAGTACGGGGAAACTGCTGAGAACTCATTTCCACCTGTGAAGCAAACATGCAGTTGTAAGAAATTCAGATGCACACATTATGGAATACTTTTGTGAGAATTCTCAGTGAAATCTATTGCCTGCATTTTTGCTTTTATCATATTGTTATTTACAATTGACTTGTAAAGCACTCTCAAACCAAAATTCCAGTTATATAGTTCAAGCAGCTCAATTATGTTTATAATAAAATAAATGTATGAATGCAACAGCAGCTGGAAATCAAATCAGTTTTTAGACTGTTGAAGGAAAAGTCTTCATTATGGTTCAGTCCAAGCCGGGAATAAACAACATGGCGGCAACTGCTTTAGAAGGAAGATTGCAGTTTATTGAAGAGGAGAGCCAGACAGAAAGATGGCTCTGGAAGAAAAGAGAAAGAGCACATGTAGGGAGTTGGTTTTTATACCTTCTTAAGTCTTTTGTTTGGAGTTGTTCCTGTGGCATGAACTTTGACCTGAGTCTGAGTGTGCATTTTTGGCATCTGTGGTTTAATCCTATTATGTCCTGTCTTAAGAGTTTGTGTGGGGTATATAGATTTTAGGTGTCTTTTGTCTTTTTAATCTTCTAGCTTCAACCTTCCTGAATGGTTTACATCTGCATTTCTACAGAGCTGGTTTCTGCTTGGGGGAGGAAGACTTGGGGCTATTAAGAAAACTGGGCATGCTTTTCTGCCTCTTTAAGATCCTTTGAGGAAATATATTTTTCTGCCCTTTTAATATTTCCTTCTCTCAGGGGCTGACTTCCCACAAGACATTCAGGAGACAGCTATCAATGCTAAATAGTAATGTCAAACAAATCAACTAGTTCTGTTTATTCCAAAATAAGTTGCACTGTGTTCAGAGATAACCAATTAAGTTTGCAGAGAAAGAAGTTTTAAATGTGTTTGGAGTAAGTTTTTTCTATTGAAATCAGTTTTAGGAAGCGTAATAAATACCACTTCATAATCATGAACTTGTATAAGCCTGAAACTGCAGATAACTATCACTGACTTCATATTTTTGTAAAGTAATGCAATTTTATATACATGTTTCTGGAAATAATCCTCATTAAACTAATTTAGGAGAGGATGGCTGGCTGGGTAGCTGAGCTAAATGAGGGATAGATAGTAGTTCTCAAAGCGTTAAGAACAGTGTGTCCTCTAAATTGTTTCTTCCTTCCTAGTGGATATAAAACATTTCTGTTTCAAAGTCTGAGAATGAAAGCATAACAAGGAACACCACTGTCTAACTAACAGGTGCCAGACTGAAGAGGAAAAATTGGTTATTTCTGAGAACTGCAAGCAGATATTTCTTAATCAATAGTCTTAAATTGTAAAAATGGTGCCATTTTTATCACACCATGGATCCACATTATATTGGTACTTTTTGTTGAAATTTTCCGAAGACTCAGTCAGTGGTCCTAGCCCGCGATTAGGTTCCCTGCGTTTCTCGTTAAGCTTTCAGTCTCCTGGACTCACAAACTACATTGCAGGCTTGCCCTAATGCAGGCTGTTAGGACACCCAGGGTGAACATAGTGCTGCAACTTCTATTCTACATGTTACAAATTTATATTTAAACGAAATGTGGCTCGCAGCCGCTCCAAGGCGACCTAGCCTCGCGCCCGATAGTAATGGGAACTTCGCCTTCCAAATAAGGCAGTCTAGGCTAAAGGCTGTTTCCAACTTTCTGTTTCGGAGAATGTCGCGATAGGAAGAGCTTTGAAGGTAAAGCTCTCCGACGAAAAGCGAATCATGACGAACGGAAAAATGCTCCCACAACTAGCGGCAAAGCCCACAATCAGACCCCAGCCAGAGGCGTCCCATGAAGCTCCTCCCTTTCTCTCAGATCTGGGCGGAATTATTCTCTTGAAATAAGTTCGGCCCACTGGCTTCGCCGTTAAAGTCCAGCCCCTTCTCTCACCGGCCAATTGGAAAATCTTATCTTCCAGCAGTTTACCAATCCGAATCAAAGAAAAGCACTACGTGCCAACCAATAGGGAAGTCCAGATTGGCTACGCCTGGTTACCAATAAGAAAATAAGTAATGGCTAATTAGGGCCAGCTAAAGCCCGCCTCCCATCCCTCCCTGGTCACTATGTGAAACAGACGCGCAGAATAAGGGACCCGGATGTTCAGACAGAATAAAAAAGCTGCAGCTACCGACAACCTCCCGCGCACAGCCTCTAGGAGAAAAGAGAAAGGGATCACTCGGGTTAATAGCTACTGATCCGTGACTAGAAGGAACGATGAGGGCTTCAGGCAGACCCCTATCTTCAAGGCCAGCCCTTCCCTCGACCCATGACTTACCTGCTGAGGAGGGCGCGGCGGAATCCCTCCGGAAAAACTCGCAGAAGCACTACGACCAGCACTGACACCGAGGGGGCTCAGTCAGGATTGTTGCTTCCGCTGCTGCAGCAAACCACCCCTCCCCCTTCAGATCGATTGGGTCTCGAGGTGTCCCGCCTACCGTGGTGATACTTTCGCCTCGTTGTGCGCGGCCATTGGCTGAGCCGCGGGTGTCAAAAGAGTCTTGGGAGTTGCAGTTCGACATCCGAACGGCGGCTAAGTCAGGTGTCGCGAGATGTTGAGGCAAAAGAAAGAAATGCGATTGGTCTTCTACAAGGAGGCGGAACAGCTACGCTTGTCTCCGCCCACTAGCCACAGGATTGGCTGACTATCTCCCGTGGAGACAGCTTTGGGAGGCAGAGTGCGGCTCTCCTGTTCCTAGAAGACGGCGGGAAATTGGGTTGCTGTCGGTCAATGGTAACAAAGATTGAACGCCCTTTTTATTTTTTGTTAGTTCACGTCTAGTCTTGCATAATCCAGCATGAATTGACACTAGATACATTTTTTTCAATTATAATGTAGTGGCTCCCTATTAGCATAACTTGTTTTTCAGTGCTTGAATGAACTGTGAATTTGGGGGATTCGCAATAAAAGCTCTGACCCTCAGAAATTCATGCTTATTGGAGGAGTCATATAATAAATGAGCTGACTACAGAAATAGATTGTGGATAGAGCAATGTTACCTTCTTGTAATTGCAGTCTAAAAACATAGGTCTTTAGAATCTGACCTCTGCTTTCATGTGCATTGCTTAAAAAAAGTGTGAAAAGGGACAGGGGCTTTCATTTGTGAGAAAAAAAGCTTAAATGATAAGTTTGGCTAAAAAAAACTGGAACAGAAAATTATCCTGGCCAGCATTTAAGTAATAATGCAATGCAATGCTCACTTTTCTGTTTTCTGAGATTTCTCCAGGCTGTGCTGTATAGGTAACCTAAACACGTTGAACAGGATGGAATGGAACGGAACACTCCTATATTCTGTTGCACAACTCTCTACATGCAGAGAGTTGGTACTCAATGAAAGAGATTTCCTTATTTGTGAATGTAAATGAGAATATATTCACAGGCAGAACGGCAAAATAATCCAGGATCCCGGAAGAACACGGCGATATTTGCAGCACTTTAGCTACTTCACAAAAGAGAGACAAACATTAGAAAACACGTTATTTAATGAGAAGACGTCGGAAGCCAACTTCCCACCGTCTTTTGGCGAACCCGAAAGCCCAGCTTTGCCTTCCGAAGTCGTATACCTGGAAAAGGGCAGCCAATCCTGGGGCTAGTAGGCGGAGACAAGCCTTCTAGGCGGCCAATTAAATTTCTCTCTTTTTTTTCTTGCTATCTCGCGACACTTGACTTAGCAGCCGTGCGGATCTCGAACTGCAATTCCCAAGGGTCTTTTCGCCACCAGGGGCTCAGCCAATGGCCGCACACAACGAGGCGAAAGTCTCACCACTGTGGGCGGGGCACCCGAGACTCAATCGTTCTGACGGTGGGGTAGGGTGGTTTGCTGCAGCAGCGGAAGCAACGCTCCCGAGTGAGCTCCTTCGGCGTCAGTGCGCGTCATAGCGCTTTTGGTGTTGGGAACGTTGCCGGGGGGATCTCGCCGCTCCTTAAGCAGCAGGTAAGGCAGTGGATCGAGGGAAGGACTGGCCTCGAGGACAAGCTCTGCCTCAAGGAACCCTACTGTCCTGCTAAACTTTACGTCAGCATTTCCCCTAGCCAGATGTCCTGGATTGTTTTCATCCCGAATCCTCACGCTTGCGTTGGGTGGGCATAATAGAAACTGCAGCATATCTGGTCTGTCACGCGTTAGGGGATCATGTTAAGTTTAGTTATGCACAATAACCTGCCATCGGTTTTAGACTGATAATGTGCTCACCCCGTTTCTTTTTCCTGTATTTGCAAAGAAAGTGCCTCCTGGTTTTTGTGCCAGTGTCATGTAATGTGCTTAAGCAATTAGGACTTTAAAAAAAAAAAAAAACTTGCTAGTTTGGCAGTTGGAAATGGAGCGTTAAGGCATCGTCCGATTTTTTACGAAATCTAAATGATCTGTGACTTTCTATGGAAGTAATGAGAATCTGAAACGCAGAAACCCTTTCTATGTGTCGGGAGGTAGAAGAATGAGGAGCGGAAAAGTCTGTGATGGGAATTTGTATCTGGTGATTTTGGTGCCTACAACTTTGTGTTTATATATTTATTGTATTAAACAAATAATACGGCTATCCATCCACTAGTAGGAACTCTGGAAGGCTAACAAATACACAAAACACAATACAATTATAAACTATTTGAATGCAAAAGCACTGATGCTTTGATAAAACTGACATCCATATTCAATCACACCATCAACTGCCTCACATCCTGATCCCTTTACCCGGGAAAGCCAGATTTTCACATTTTTCCTGAAGGCCAGCAGGTTTGGAACTACATGCATCTCTGGTGGGACTGGGGGTGGCTCTATCATAAGGCAAGGGCCATGACAGAGAAGGTATATTTCTGAAGTTCCCACCAAGTGATACTGTTTCATCAACAGTGCTCTAGTTGTATCATAAACCACTTCATACCCTGCAGTTCCTTTGAACATCAGGGGACCATCCATGCATAGAAAGTCTGCACAGCCATATTCCAATCTGAAACTGCTGTCACTTTCTTATTACAAAAAATGACTAAGAATTGAACAAACTGCACCAGAACTTCAGGAACTATTCCCAATTTCCTCTGGAACTCCACTGGGTTAAACTTCAATAAACCCCTACCTTATGTGGCCAGCATTTAAGGATAATTATCTGACACATGAGGGCACCAGACTGGTTACTCCTGATCTGTAATTTAAATCAAGATTCTCAATTGTCTAAGTGTTACTGGATTTTCTTCTATTTTTCTTTAGCAATGTTAGTATACAGGAATAATGGATGTTGAAATTTCTGTAGCATAGATTTTATTATCATTACATCTGTCCTGTAAGTTCTTTCAATTTTTGCATAGAATTTTTTTTGATAATCATTGGAAATCTTTTTACTATGGGTGGATGGTTTACATTTCTTAAGGACTGAATTTTAAAAATTCATATTTTCACTTTTTTAGTGCTTTTTTAAGATGGGGACTGTAAGTGCACTTATTGGAATTTGGATGACCTTTTCCCTAGTTGAAGCACATTCAAAAGCTGTTACAACATCCTTAACTACTAAGTGGTTTTCAACACCTCTGTTACTTGAAGCAAGGTAAAAATGTTGACAGTGTCTTTTTTCCCCTGAAACATTTTATGTGTATATATATATATATATATATATATATATATATATATATATATATATATATATATATATATAAAATCTCATTTATTCATGTTACAGTCTTGTATGTCTTAATACTATTATCATATGTTGCTATGAGTTGGATTGTCTTAGAAAGTTGATGAATCAATATATAAATTCAATATTGTAAATATATGCAGGTAAGCTAAGAGCACTGTTTTGCTTAAAAATGCCCAGTGAATTCATAACAAAATGACATTTGAATCAACGTCTTCTAAACTGCAGTGTTTTCTCCATTTTTAAATTTTAATGGATACAGTGCTACCTTTTTTAAATGAGACTATTTTTTTCCAGTGAATTTTTAGCAGAAGAAGATAACGAGAAATTCTGGAATTTTGTTGAGACTTGCCAAAACTTTCAGTCATCTAATCATGATGGTAATTGTTTTTATCCTTGTTTGGTTTATCAGTTAGATAAATTATTTAGCCTAGAAGATTGTTTTTTTTTAATTAAATAACTTCATTATAACTGCAGAATGTTATATTTAATATTTATAGTCAGAAGATCTGACTGTTCTGCAGGCTATGTGGACAGCAGTGATATTAGGCCTGCCTTAATTATTAATGGATTCTTTATTTTATGTTATGATTTTGCATTTTACCCTAGGCAATTGTATTCCTTATTGGAAGAAGCCTTGTTTGAAGTCCTTCTTGTCTTCCCCTAAAAACTAAATAATGTATCTTGTTTATTGGCAGGTAGTGATTATTCCTCTTACAATGCAGTGCTGCAAGCTGCTTCCCAGAGTCTTTCACCTTTGCAGCGGAACCTGTTGAAATTTGCTTTGTCTTTACGCTCTTATTCAGCCACAGTTCAAGCCTTTCAGCAGGTTAGATAAAACCTTGGGGACTTTATGTTGTATGTTTTTTTTTAAGCAATAATGCAATAGAAAAATAACAGGTCGCTTTTCCTTTTAACCTATTAGGACTAAACCTTAAAGTTGCATTCTCATTATTAAAATTGATTAAATTAATTGGCATCAAATTTGGTGTTATCCTAATAGCTATTCTCTATCCTTCCATTTTGCTCCCAATCGAAAAACAAAGAAATCATAATTCTGTAAAATTATTGCATGGAAATCCTCCTGTTTAGATTGGAACAGCTAAAATTGCAAAAGCAAATAACTCCTTTTTTATCTTTCTTATTTGACTGCCATTCTTACTATGAGTATGCATGAAAATAAAACAAATTTGCAAAGAGAAAAAAGTGCTAAAAGGGGTAGGAGAAGAAATGAAACCAGATTATTATAAGATTGTTTCCTGTTTTTTATATAGCTCAGTGATGATTTATTTCCTCAATTGTAAATGAAGTTACAATTTCTTTGTGGGATGTATGTCTGAAAAGATTGGAGACGTTGATTCTATATTACTTGTTTGTATCTACCTGGACTGAAAGCAGAAAAATTATGAAAAAGTTCTCATTCAAGTTATAGCCAGTCAAAATGATTCCTCTTTAACATTTCAAATTATGCTGTATAAATGAATGCACGAAGATACTGTACAAGAAGATCCCATTGCTCTGATTAAGATGAGATGGAGGCTATCATCATTTTATTAAAACAGATACATTTTAATACAGATAGCTGCTGATGAGCCTGCACCAGAACAATGCAATGCATTCTTTGTTGTTCATGGGGAGAAGACTTGTGAAGCCGAAAGACTTGGAACACTCATACAGACAGCATCCAAAAGGTTGTTTTTGTTTTTTTGCCAAGATACCCTAAAGATCTCATTTTAATAAATGACATCTTTATGTAGATATTATTTCTGGAGAATATGTAAACCCCGATAAAACATTCTTGCTCATTTTGAATGATTCAATATTACTTGGGAAATGTGGATGTGA